CAGAACTTGGTTATGGGATGGAATGTGGGTGGGAGACATTATTATTACATTTTTTTTCCTACCAGTCTTTTGTGTGAGAGAGTTCCCACATTAGAATGTAAACTCTTGGGCCGAGCCCGTGGCGCACGTGGGAGAGTGCGGCGCTGGGAGCGCAGCAACGCTCCCGCTGCGGGTTCGGATCCCATATAGGAATGGCCGGTGCGCTCACTGGCTGAGCGCGGTGTGGGCGACACCACACCAAGGGTTGCGATCCCCCTTACCGGTCACGAAAAAGACAAAAAAAAAAATAGAATGTAAACTCCATGAGGACAGGGATCCTATCAGCTTGTTCACTGTTGTTTCTCCAGGACAGAATACAGGCAATTAACAAAGATTTAATGCATGATAAATGAGTGAGTTAATTAAGGAACGAGAGGGTGGGATTAACAATGACCCCCCCGGTTTCTGGCTCAGCCTCAGGGTGGATGGTGGCAGCACTCTGAGAGGGGAGGACGGGGGGGGGGGGGGGGGGGGGGGGGGGGGGGGGGGGGGGGGAGCAGAAGGGTGGACCAAAGCCCAGTGTCAGGGAAGCAGTGCAGGTGCCCATGGCAGGGCCAAGCGTGGAGAGCACGAGGGGAAAGGGTTTGTTTACTTGGATCACTTTTGTAGTCCCAGCACGTGGAGCAGTGCCTGGAATACAGAGGAGGCTCAATATGCACTTGTTGAATGAATGAATGAATGAAGAGTTGAGAGGGGATTTCTGGACTGGAACCATAAATGTGAATGTCACCAGCACCTGGAAGATGGTTAAGGGAATGGGGGTGGATGAGGTCACCTAGGAAAGTGCGTGGACAGAGAAAGAAAGGAGCACCTCCTTCTTCCCCATCCAGCAGCCAGAGATCGCTGATGTAGGAAGCAGGGACCCTAACTCAGCTAGGTTATGCTCACTAACCACTACCCTTCCAGGGATCCCTGGAGAAGCAAGTAAATGGGGGTGGGGGTGGGAAGGGCCCACAACTCTGAGGGGAAAAAAGGGAAGGGCTTCCAGCACTAACGTGAGGAGGCCTCTGACCCCTCTGACTTGGAGCCGCAGCCCTCTCCCTGGCTCCCTCTCCTCAGCCCCTGACGCTGGGTCAGGCCCACCTGAGGTTGACCAGGAGAGCCAGGTCCCTGGAGTCCCTGGCAGCCCTCTAGAGTGACACAAGTTGTCCTGGGCCTGGGTGTGACTGAGCCAGCTCAAGTGCCACCTGTTGTGTGGGCACCAACGTGTACACACCCAGAGCTGGATCTAGGAAATGAAGGAGCATGCTCACTGCGATAATGCCATGGGTCCAGGAGGGTGGCACTGAGTCACATCACAACCCACACCCAGGGCGCCCGCCGAGTTACTCCAGACTAGATGTGGCACAGGTGTCTCCTTGCCTTGCCTTACACCCTTGAGGGCCAGGAAGAGGCCAAAAATGAGTCTAGCAGGGAATTCTGCTCCAGAGTTAAGGAATTTGAGGAAAACCATGTTGGGAAGGGAGCTCATCCAAGTCCTGTTCAGACCTGTGTTCTCGACCCACCTCTACCACTAACTAGCTGTGCAGCCCCACGTGAGTCACCAAGTCTAGAACTGGAAGAGGCCTTCGAACTCCACCTTCCATGCTGAGCAGAAACTTCCCCCAAGCCCTGGCAGAGCACACGACCACTCGACCACTTGCTGTCTCTCCAGGTACTTCAGAAACGGCAGCTTTACCACCCCACAGGGCAGCCCATTCCTTTTTGGCAGATTGTTAGAAGCTTCTCTTTTCAAAAGGCCTGGAAGGACCCATACCAGATGTTGAGAGTGTTAAGATGTTAACAGTTAAGAGTGGGGTTGAGGGAGGGTGACAGGGCTCCCTGTTGATTTGGTAGGGGATGCTTTCCAATACCTTGTATTAAATTCATAATAGCAAGGAAAACAACAAAAAAATAAGGTTCTTCCTTACTTGAACTCAATCTGCCTTCCTAACATCTCCACCTATTGGTCCCAGATCTGCTTTCTGGGATCAGAGAATAATCTAAACCCACTTCCCCACTGCTGCCCCTCGCATCGCTGAAAGTGGGGGTCAGGTGCCCCCCGAGACTTCTGGGCTGTGCTGCTCCTCATTTACCCTGGTGTCCAGACCAGACCTACCCCAGTCACCCCTTCTGAGCATCAGAATAAAACTCCAGTAGGGTCACAGAGGGAAGGAACCAGTCACTCCCCGAGCTGGTTTTACCTCCAGCTAATTAATTAATGAAGCCTGAGAAGACATCCCTCTCCCCTCTATGTATGTGGTGGGGGGCAGTACACACATTAAAAAGGGAGTGAGACCACTCAGGTCCCCAAGCTTGGTGCTCTTACCTATAAAAGGGGAAAATGATACCGTTACTATGGGAATTGATTGAGATTAAGAAAATAAAAAACATTAAAACACAAATTCTGACACTAGGGGTTATGACCCACAGCCTTATTTGGTTCAGAAAGTGGCTAAGCACTGGGCCCATAGAGCCAGACTGCTTGGGTTTGAATCCCAGCTTTGTCACTATTGGCCATGTGACTTTGGAGAAATGACCTGACATTGCTGTGCTGCACTTTTCTCCTCTGTGAAAACACCAATCTTGGAATGTGTTTTTATGAGCATTAAATGTATTGCCAAGCACTCAATAAGTGTTGGCTGTTTGGTACTATCATCCCCACTCCCTCACAAGGTGGTCAGGGCTTCACTGAAATGAGGCTAATTCATTGCACCTAAGTGAGGACATCAAACCAAACTGATCGTGTTACCGGAGTGAGTTGCTCCATAATACTCCCCCCCACACCACCACCTAATATTTGTCAGCAGTGATTATGTGCTAACAGCTTTACAGGCACTGACTTATTTAATTCTCCCAATGGCTCAATGAGGTGGGTACTATTAGTACTCCCATTTTAAAGATGAGGAAATAGGGGTTCAGATGGGTTGAGTGACTTGCCCAAGGTCATACAACTAGGAAGTGATGGAGCCAGGACTCAAACCAAAATCTGTCTGACTCCAAGTCCGTCGCAATCACTGTTGTTTTAACCAGCTCCTTAGTTTGGGCTCCACTCCAGCTTCAGGGGCCAGAGGAAGCCAGAGCCTCTTCTTCCCACGTCAGCGTGGCCTGCTGTTTCTGTGAGGTGGGGGGGAGGGGCAGTCTCCTGCGTCCCTTGCCGAACGCTCTGTCCTCCTGCACACTGCCCTTCTCCTCCAGGGGTCTGAAGGTGTCACCAGCTGCATCCCCTTAGGTCCTCTCAGGACCACCTTGGCATCTGGCACCCCTGAGCTGTTTGCTCCTGACCATGAAATGGTTCTACATTGATCTACAGAAAAAACAGCCATTCTGGAAGTCGGCCCTGATGCGTAACATCATTATGGAGTCAGCAGTGCATCCCATCCCATTATCGCCTGGCCAAGCTTCTCTGAGGCGAGCCTGGCTGCAAATGGCTTTCTCCTGTCTGGGGGGGCCAGAGCCCCTACTTGCCCTCCACTGCTGGAGGAGAGATTTTATCTTTAATTGACAACTGGCTGCCTGCCATGCCTTGCCTGGCTGGCCCAGGCTCCAAGCCAATATGCTCTTACGCTTCAGGAACAGGCTTCCCCTCGCTTCTTCCTTCTCCTCGACCCTGCCATCCTGACCTTACTGTTCTAGCATGTCCCGGACAGCTCCCGGGTGTGCTCTTGTCCTTTCTTGGTGTGACTGAACATGGGAGATCTCAGAAATCTGTAGAGAAAAGCCTGAGAGCTACAGGAAAAGGGTGGGGAGGGAGCTGACACGTGTACACCTGCTTTATGTCGCACTGACACATGACAGTGGGCCAGTCTCTTTACACTCACCATCTCTGAAATAGGTGTATCATTATCCCCATTTAACAGACAGGGGAACCGGTTTGGTAAGTTGTCCCCAAGTTACCCAGCTAGTAAGTAGCAGATTAAGATTAGAACTGATGGGCCGGCCTGGTGGTGCACTGCTACAGTGCGCCGCTTGGGAAGCGTGGCGGCGCTCCCGCCGAGGGTTCGGATCCCACATGCAGACCGGTTCCCGCTCACTGGCTGAGCGAGGTACGGGAGCAACACTGAGGGTTGCGATCCCGTAGCCGGTCCCGGTCCGGTACCGGCACGACACTGAGGGTTGCGATCCGTTGCTGGTCATGAAAAAAGACAAAAAAAAAAAAAAAAAGAAAGAAAGAAAGAACTGAGGCCCCTATGACTCTAAATTTATGCCCAGCATAAGAGCAAGGAGTAAGACAAGAATCCAGAAACAAACATGCTCCCAGACCTGGCAGAGCCAGCTGCCAAATGAAAATGCAGATCCCCTGTTCAATGGTTATTAATGTCATGATGGCAACAGCTGAGCATTAAACCCAGTGTGGGGCCCTTGAGCGACTGCACAGGTTACATGCCCATGACACTGGCCCTGCGTGTGCTCCTATGTGTGACAGTGTAACATAGTGAGGGTCCTGGGCCACACCTGACCATCACCTTACCATTTCCCCATGCTATCTGGGCCCAGGATGTGTTCATTCCCCATCCTTAGTGATCCCCAGTTGAGCCACCAGTCCCTTGTCGGCCTCAGTTTGCCAGCCATCCAGTCACGGCAACAACTTTGGCATTCCCAGGGCCTTGGCCCACTTAGAACTGCTGCAACTGCAGGGAGGAGGGGAGGCCCGTGCACACACAAGCGGGAATATGGTGGAACTCCTTAAACAAAGAACAGTCCTTTATGTGACGGCAGGGGTTCAGGTGGCAGCAGTGGATAGGCATACTGCCTGGGAGCCCAGGGCTCTGGATTAGTCCTCTTCGTGTGGCCTTGGGAGGATCACTTTTCCTCCCTGAGCATTAGTCCCTAGCTGTAAAATGTAGGGATTGGGCTGCGTTGATGATTCCTGGTGGGGCAGAGTTACGCTAAGAGTGTGTTGCATTCCTCAGGTGCTGAGGGTGGGAGCCCAGGGAGGTCCCCCCACACACAGAGCCAGAAAGGAGAGGCGGAGGCAGGCACTCACACAGCAGGAGCAGCGGGATGCTCCAGATGTCTTTATTGAGGCTCGAGCACAGCGCGACAGTTGAAGGCGTGCAAACAGGGCAGCAGGGCCCACCCTGGGCATGCCTCAGACACACACAAGGAAATAGCTTTAGAAAAGGACTGACCAACACCAGGGAGGAGCAGAGAGGGATAGGAGCGGGGAGGGAGGGCTGAGGGAGGGGCAGAGGCCCAGGCTGAAGGGGTCACCTGGCCTCTGCTGTTGCACACATCCTCTGGCCACCGGCCAGGAAGTATGGTATTGCAACTGGTCTCCTCTCGCCCGAGGCTTCCCCTTCTCAGACCCCTGAGCCAGACGGACAGACAGACCCCTACCCTGCCTGTCTGCCCCGCAGCATCTTTGAAAACAAACAGATGAAGGAGACAGAACAAAAAAATCAAAAATTAAAAAGACAAAATGTCCCCTCAGTCAAGGACACAGGGTATAGAAAGGAGTGGAGGAGGCTGCAGAGGAGCCCCTGGAAGTCCACCCACAACTGGGGAGTAGGGTGGGAGGTAGAACCCCAATCTGGGGTGGGGTGGGGCTAGTGGAGCAGTGACCCTGGGGGGGGGGCAGTCTGGCCTCCGACAGACTTCAACAGGCCACCTGCTGATGGGGGAAACACCCCCAAGAGAGAGAGCAGCCTGGGACCACCCAGCTGTACTGGCAGTGCCCAGGTGCACTTTTCCTGGGACATTCCACACACATGGTCAGCAGAAACAAGGAACCAGTGAAGGGGAAGGGGATGGGAAACTCGGGCAAGGGCTTGGGGAGACACAGCCTAACAAAGAAGATAGACCACCAATAGCACGTGCACTACACACACACGAGTATAGTATGTATGAATATAGATACTATATGTGCATATATATCTCTTCAATGTACAGTAGAACAGAATGTCAGACCCAGATGACTCCGGGCCCCGAGGATTGCATGAGAGGTTTTCCACCAGTCCTGTGCAAACAACGATATCTGAGTCTTTGCCAGTGAAAGATTCTTGCCTGGGTTCCAGAGTTTCCCTAAGCCTTTGGCTTTCTGTCTGTCTGCCTGTCTCTCTCACGTTGGTGCCGCTTTAAGAGAGGGTGAGGACTTCAGCCTGGGCATAGTTGGACGAGAGTGCGTCTTGGCAGGTCTCTGTGTTTAAAGAGCACAGGTGTGAGACACTGGGACGCACGCTTTCGGTTCAACATTGCCTTCTGGGGGCAAGGAGTTCAACAAAAGAAAGGGAGAAACAAAGAATGAGATGTTAGAAAGAAGCCAGCTGCTGACCCACAGACTGTGGGTTAAGGAGCAGGCCAGGAGCAGAGCTAGAAGGCATGAGGAACCCAGGACTCAGAGGCCAGGAGGAGGAGGGACGGGTCAGGGAATGGGGGGAGCCCTTCATCACCCTTCTGCCAACCCAGCTCTGGGCCAACGTGACTCAGGTGATGTTACAGCTCATCCCCATACCTGCTCAGGTAACCACTAGCCCCAGGAAACTAGCCTTTCAGGTCTTCAAAGCTCTAGTACAGTGGAGAGACCACAGTTCTACACAGAGGCCGTGGGGAAAGTTCCTGATGTGGTCTGTGGCTCACGGGGCATCACCCCAGCTGTTGCCTGCCTAACTTGAGCTCTCCCCCAAATAGCTCCATCTGCTATCACCACACTTGGCTATTCCACTGTCCCAAGGAGATAGTGATGAAAGCTCCTGAGTATTGTGCCCTGCCCCCTTGTTCAATGTGGCAGGAACAGAGCCCCAGCAGTCAGAGGGCATGCAGCCTCAGGTGAATGCTGAAGGGGAAGGTCAAGGAGGACGAACGAGCCTGTCTCAGGACTGAAGGCCAGTAAATAGCATCTTATTGAGAAACACAACCCCTCAGTGAGCCTTCATCAGCATCCCATCCTCAGCCTGGGATCGCTATGGCCTGGTCTTCCCTTCTCACTGGGAACACAGGTTCCAACTGCAGATCTGTGTCAATAGTGCAGGTGGGAGCTTCAGCCCCCTCCAGGTCAACCTCCGTAGCTATTAAGTTTGAGGTCCAGGGCTAGGCCTGCCATCAAGGCAGGGATCAGATTCGGCATCCAGGCCTCACAGCTTCACAGGCAGCACTGGGCTGCCCAGCTACACTGAAGCACCTCCATTGCTTTCCTAGGGAAAGGGTGTTCTCATCTTGGAGTGACAGTTCCCATCTCCTTAAGACTAGTGCTCCAGCCACCTCCTTAGATGCTGCTCCTTGGCCCACTAAGATTCTGGGTACTATTCTTGAGGAAATCAGAAAAGCACAGGGCTCTTCAGAGCCCCATTTCTGAAGACAAGCAGAGAGAGCTGTGGTCTTGCCCTGTGCTCCTAACACTAACCAGTCCATATAACTTAATAAGAAATACCCTGACACTGGTCCCTACTCACGAGGGGAAGGGAACATTTCTTTGGGTTCCCTGTAGGCAACTAGATCCTAAGACACACTGATGAGAATGCCTGGGTTACCAAGGTGCTTTGGATGGGCATGGTGTGAGGCAGGAGTCGCAGCAGAGCTGTGAAGTGCCCCCAGAGAGCTAGGGAAGGGGACAGCCCATTCTGGGGGGGTATAATGGCCTCATGCTGCTTTGTCATTGGTTTCCATAGGCTGTCCATCCTCAGGGGCCTCTGAGAATTGGGGAGGGGTTTTCCTAGGAATCTCCTTCCAGAATCTATCTATTTGACCCACCAGGGCTGGAGCAGGGATTTCATATCTCTGGCCAGTGCAGGGGAGGCTCTCCTCTCCCAGGAAGCTCTGAGGAAGGGTAGCCCTGGCCTCAGGCCAGCACATGGCCTCCCATCTAGCTCCTGTCAGTCTAGGCTCCAGGCGCACAGTTCCTTCCCCTCAAGTTCTACCTCACAGCCACTCCTTAGAAGGCCTGGAGGCTGAGAAGTGGCCCCTAGGGCTGTCAGTAGTCCTGGTACAGACTGTATGGGAAGGTTAAGAACTCCCTCCTGGGCTGCTTTCTTCTTCTGTGGGAAGGGGCTGAGCCCCAGTTGTTGGGGAAAGGCTTCTAAAAGCCAAAGTAATGGGAGCAAGTCTAAGTCCAGTCCAAGGAAAAGCAAACTACACTCACACTATGAGTGGGGCAGAACCTTCTGCCAAGGAGGGAGGCCCAAGGACTGGTGAGCCTGAGGCCTGTGCAGGCAGCTGCCTCCCATGGCAAAGCCTGATAGACAGTGGGGCTCTGTAAATGCCAGGACTCCCTCTGCCCTTTCCCAGGGCTCTGGGAAGGCCCAGGGGTCCTAAGAGGCAGAGCTGGGGGCAGATATCCTACTCAGCTCTCCCACTAGCTGGGTCTTGTCTCTCTCCTGTGAAGCCAGAGAGCCAGGAGGGAGGTGGGGGCCCATCTCCCCAGCACATGAGGGGCTCCAGCCTGGAACTGCTGCATCCTGCTGCCCAGGGACATCTGTGCCCACCAGAGGGTGCGGTGAACATGCCCATCCCTGTGGGAGGGAAGACAGGGAAGGAGGCGGTGGGTGCCGTGGAAACTTGGGCTCCTGACAACTTGAGGGCTGCCACAGAAATAGCAGCCCTGGTTCACTGAACCAGAAAGACAAGTCAGAGGAGAATACGGCTATGGCCTCCATGCTAAACTGGACACCTAGAATATCATGTCCCATCAGAAACCCCAACCCCTGGGGCCAGGGAGCCTTGCAGGGGCAGGGCTAGAACTGTCCTTGTGAAGAAGTTGGGCTGTCAGACTAAGCTCTGAGGGAAGAGGGGCCCAGTGTCTCCGTCCTGCTGGAGTAGGATGACTGACTTCCTCATGCCATCACTTAAAGGTGCCTGTGCCCTCCTGAAGGGTGGGTGACAGTATGGATGCTCCTGTATCCCTCTTCTGAACTTGTAGGGGTCATTACATTCTGGGAGCAAGTTGGAGGCAGGCCCCACAGACCACAGCAGGGCTGGGTTATCCCAGTGCCCACCATGAACAAACCTTTCCAGAAGGGACATCCCTGGGTCTGCCAAAGGCTGAGGGGGGCACTCCTGGCACAGGCTTTGCACAACACCCTCAACCCCATGCAATCTGATCTTTCTGCCCAGCTTCCCTTTCGGGGTGTCCCCAGATTGCCCAGCTTCCTGCTGAGTCCCCAAATGCCGTCTTGCCCTTCCTACCTTTGCCCACCCTGGAAGGAGCAGATATGGCCCTTAATAGTCATTCCTTGTACAAAGTTGCATAACCTGACTCTAAAAATTGCCGGGCACACAGCTCTGCTGTCAGGTCTACTTCCCATCAGGTGAAACGGGAACCGTCTGGGCCGAGGGCTGAGGCAACCTCTTTCCTGGCTGGGAGGGCCTGCTGGGGGAGGGGCAGGCACAGGCGGGGCAGGATGGCTTCTGTCTCTGCACTTCTCCTCGGCTGCCCCTGCGCAAGGTGTACCCCTGCTCACCCAATGACTCACAAACCTGTTGTGCTCCGGGCTCGTTGGGTAAATGAATACACTTAATTATAGAAATTAGATGAGTCTCTGGTTCTGGCAGGAATACAGAGCGCAGGCTGGGTGGGAGCGGCAGGTGACTCAGAGGCAGGGCTGGGAGTTTGAGGGAGCAGGAGAGAGAAGAAAAACTGTTGCGGAAGCAGAGGAAGCAGCATAGAGAGAGATGCCACAGCTCAGGGTGCAGATGGGATGCAGGGCACGCTGCTGGGTGTCACCTGCTGAACCTGGGCAGCGGTGCCCAGAGAGGAGGGCCTCTCCACTTAGACAGCCTACCCATGGCTTGTGCAAAGCCTAGGGCTGTGACTCTAGGGACCCCCCACTGTGCCCCAGGCCAGAGCTGGAAAATAGCAAGCCTCTTCTCCCAGAGCAGCACTGACTGTGGGCACTGCCCTTCTGAGGACTTAAACCTCCTAGCAGAGATGCCCCACAGGACAGCCTTGTTTCTTGCTGGTCTGGGTGTGCACGATGGACAGACAGACAGGCTGTTTGGTTACCGGTGAAAGGCCACAAGGAATGGAAATGCATTTGCAGCAATTACAAATGTTAATGTTAGTGTGGCTCTCCAGCAAGGCTGATGATCCAGGGGCACTGCACCACCAAACACGCCTGGCCACTGTGGCTGTCCCTGGTGGGACCCCAAGAGGGAGGCAGGGCTCAGACACCTGGGCATGCAGACACCTGCAGCTCAGGAAGAGATCAGGATGCACGGAGGGTGGGGTGGAAGCCCTGGAGTGATCTCCCCTTGCTCTCAGGGTCCAGAGCTGGACATTCTGGGCAGACAGTTGCTGTGGAGGAGAGGCTCAGGGCTCTGAATCTGCCTCCATTCTGACCAGCTCCCTCCTGCTGCTCCCTTCAGGCCTCAGGAGGACCAAGTGCCGGGAGGGCGTGTGAATGTGTCTGTGTGTGTGTGTGTGCAGGTGGGAGGAGAGCCACAGCTGTCACTAAGGGGCAGAGTGTCCGGGGGGTGGGCTGAAGGGGTGGGAGAGCAGGAGCTTTCTTGGAGGGTAGGGCGAGCTGTATCCTGATGCCAGTGGAGACAGCCCCAGACTGGATCCAGCCACTCCAGCTACGTTGATTAGACTCCTGGACTTTTCACAGCCTTGGTGAAGAAAAGGCACATGGGTCAGAGGGGTGCAGCTCTTCGCCAGAGCAGCTCCATGGGGTCCACGCTCCGGAGGACCCTGTGTGGCGGATGGCCCCAGGCTGGAGTGGAGGGGTCAGGCTCTGCTGGGAGAGGCTCCTTGACTCTCCCTGGCTTCTGGGTCACCTGTGCTCCTGAGGACTGACTCCAGGGCCTCACTCCCAGCTGACCACTGTCCTGTCCTGTCAGGTAAGTTCCCCACCAGCTCTTTGATAGCCCAACTGCACAAAGAACCCACAGCCTCCAGCACCCGCCTTCTCCACCCTAAGAAGCCCTAATTAGCACCTTCCACCTTCCTCCCAGGGAGCTGACACTCTGACACATGGGCAGCTACAGGTTAAGGATGGGGTTTGTGCTAGTAGCTGGAAGAGGCCCAGACCCACTCACTCCTGATCTTAAATGTGGCCTGGTTGCAGAGAAGTGCAGCACGGTATGGCGTGGGGAAAGTTGTTGAGTGTGCACTGGGAGTTTGGTGATGTTAACTGCAATGCTTGCTTAACAGGGCCTGTTTCCCAGCAACCCACCTGTTCCCTCTCGAAGGTCACTCTAATTGGCTGAGCTATATGCTTGTTGCCAAGAAGCAGTGTGGAGGCATCTTGAAAATAGAGCACTGGGCCTCACAGGCACCCTAGAGAGATAAGGTGATGGGATGCAGGCTACCCAGCCCCTGCATGCACACGTGCAGCCCCTTCCCCAGGTGCACCCACTGACCTGCACCCTCACAGCCTCTTCTTACCTCTTCTTCCACTGAGTCCCTCACAGCACAGGAAGGAAAGCAGGGGAGCTCAGCACTCAGCTCTATTTACTCAAAGCGTACATGGGGTGGGGGTCGCCTTACCCCCACATGGTAGGCCATCTGCTTAGCATGCTCCAGCCAGAGCAAGGTTCTGGGTCTGAGCAAGAACACGGTGGAAGCCACTGCATGTTTGCAGTGGGAGACAGGAGAGAAGGGCACATCCACATGAGGACTGGGCACAGAGGTGACCAGAGGAACACAGGTCTGAGCGCACTCCATCTGCAGCCATCTATCTCGGGCCTCCGGCTCATCTCCTTCCAGGAGCCTGACCACTGCTCCTGATTCTGCCACCCATAGGACACATGTCCAGCAAAGCTGGACACACACCTCTCAGGGCCTGGTTAGAGTAAGGGTGACCTGGGGACTCTATGGGAATGGCGGTGTTGAGAAGACCGGGGAAAGAGCCTGGGAAGGTGCCCCAGGAGACTGCATGGGCTGGACTGGGCAGGCCAGGGGATTTCTTTAGGGGGACAGAGGCATCAGAGGCTATTTCTGCAGCAGCACTGCCCCTGCCTCACTCATCCTAGTCTGGGTCTGGGGTTTGGGGACAAGTGGGGGGTGGGAAATCTGGCTGGCTAAGAAGTGGTCAGAGAACCCAGGGAAGAGCTTTATTCTGGCTGCGGGCGGGGGGGGGGGGCGGGAGTCAGGGTTTGTCCTGAAACTGGGGAGGTTAGGTCACAGGGACAGGGCAAGAAAGACAAAAAAGTAATAGAAACTGTGTAGAAAGAGTATCTGGTCTTAAGGCCTCTGGTTCTCAGCCACCACTAGCCTTCAACCATCCTTCATTATTTCTGCCCCTCTTTTCTAGGCCAGGAATCCCTCGCTTCACAGCCCAACTTCTGCCCTGCCCCTGCCGTAGGCTTGGGGCATGGGGATGGAATTTCAGCCTTCTGTTCCCTTAACTCTCCAAGTCCTTCAGAACATTGATTCCTCAGAGGGAACCTATCTCCCTGCCTGCCCTGCCCCGATCACCTCTGGCTCAAGAGGAACCCCAGGAGCCTGCAGATCTGGGTCAGTCCATCCTGGACTCCAGGACCCCCCTCCCCCTCCGCCATGCAGGATGGAAGGAGGTGGGGCCTGTGCCAGGCTCTCTGACTCCTGAATGTTGTTGGCACCTCCTGGGACTCCTTACTTGGGAAAGCCTTCGCTGTGTTAAGGGAGGCCTAGGGAGGTTGGCAGGGACACTGTGGACTCAGGTCTGAAGGCAGCAGCAGGAACCAGAGGCAGAAAAGGTGCCGAAAATGGAAGGGAGGGTCGAGGGCCCAGATCTAGTGTCCTCTCAACCCTCTAGCACTGCTCTTCCCTGGGGGCACCCGGCGAGGAGGGCTCTGTGAACTCTTTTGGAATGCTGGTGGCCCTCCAAATTCAGGGACTGCGAGATCAGGTACCCCTTCTAAAAGCGGGGGCACATCCAAGGCAGAGGAGATAGTGGCCATGGTCTCAGGGGAGGAGGGGACTTCAAGCTCTGTTGGGGGGACTGGGGAGACTCAGCTCTGTGGGGGCTCCCCACCTGCTTGGCCCAGGGAGCCATACCTTTCCGGACACTGCCATCAGCACAGGCATAGTCCCCAGCGCTGAGCAGAAAGCAGGCAGCCGCCTTCTTGTTTCTGTCTCGAGTGCCGGAGCGTCGCAAGGCACGGCGCTCCTCGGGGGTGGGGGCGGAAGCCAGGGGCTGGGTGAGGCCAGCGCCCTCCTCGTCTGACAGCACCGCATTGGCATCCCCATTCTGCTTAGAGTCTGGAGGAAGCAGACAGAAAGGAGGCTGTGTGAGGGGCCACCTGCCTTCCTTATGGGGTCACTTCCCCAACCTGAGAGGCTGGGGAAGTGTGCCTGTGGGGAGGAGGCAAAGGGCAGGGTGCCGTGTTCGGCCTGAAGGTTGGCTTCCCACCCATCCTGGGGGATGGAACCTAAGCATAGATACCCTACAGCAGGGACTCCCCAAACCTACCTGCGGAGGGCTACCCTGTGACATAGCCAGAGGCAGGTGGCAGACTCTGCTTCCCCCATGGATCTGGCTCAGGCTCACACTTGGATGAGTTTGCATTCCTGCAGAGAGTGCTGGGCTTGCTGGGGTGAGGGATGGCATCACCAGGGTTAAACCTAAAGTGGTGCCCACAGCTCTCTCCCTGGACCCCCTGAAGGCAGTTATTTTTGTTCAACAGGTGTCTAGGCTGAAGTCCAATATCCAAAGGACTTGGAGGCCTCTGCTCTCAGGGCTGACCTGTGTCTGGGGAGGACTCTGTGGGGAAAAGGCTCCAATTCAACTCCTCACTGCTGTGGGCTCTTAGCCCTAACCTCCTGCCTTTGTCAGGCAGCAGCACTGGTAAAGCTGGGCCCTTGAATCTGGAGAACGGGGGGGCTACTCAGTCTGAAGACAGTGGCTCTGACATTGGCCAAGCACACCCTTAATGTAGCTAAGCACTCAGAGTCAGGCTAAGGGCATGGCAGATAGGGCCACAGGAAATATATATCGAGGAGCGAACCTAAGGACTTCTACATTTTGGTATCAGGATTCCCCTTGGGCCTTAATGGGCCTCAGAATAAAGCTGAAATTCCCTGGGGCTAGGAGATTCATATTCAGAGATCAGGAAGGGGTACCACTTTGGTGGGGAAGAAGAGGGAAGCCTGATGAATGCTGTTCTATCAAGGCCTTTGCAAGACCCAGGCCCCTGAATCACCCCAGGGAATGAGTGGCCCCAGGATGTATGATGGGTATGCAGTGACAGGTCACAGGTGAGTGTCCTGAGTCAGGCACATCCCCTGGAGAACCAATCCCCTTTGCCCGAACTCAGCACCTCCCCTGGAGGACCAGTCCCACTTTGCCCCAGAGCTTAGCCAGCAGCTGCTGCCTTCCTCTCCTGGCCCCATCCCAGCCCCCCAATGGCCTGGCATCCAGCAGCTCCCTACATCAGGAATCCCATACTTCTCTCAGGAGCTCAGCCCATACCTAACAGTCAGGACGCCTTTCCCACTCTCCAACGTAACTCCATGTTGCTGGGGATTAAGCTGATTTCTGTTCCTCATCTCCTAATTCAAGGGGAGGTGAGTTTTCTTGGGATGGCCTTTTCTGTCCTTGAAGGACAGGATTCAGACTCCCGGGCCCTCCCCATCCAGTTTCTTCCATGTTCCTCCCCTTTCCAACACTGAGCCAGTCTCTACTCAGTTCCCTTCTACTCCATGTCAAACCCTGAGCCCAGCACTCGAGCTAGCTTGTGCTGAACAGAAGGCAGCCTCCCACTGCCGTTACGTTATCACGCTTATTAGGCCAAGAGACACCAGACTCGAACGTTTGGAAAGAAGTGATTCATGTGTTGAGGCACCTTGGAAGAAAAGCTGCCCTGCTCTCTGGCTAATCACGACAGTGCCTGACATTTGTAAAGTGGTTACAATTCTCAAAGTGCTTCCATATCTGTCATTCATCTAGGTCTCATCAGAGTCTTGGGGGTAGGATATTGATATCATCCCCATTTTACAGGCGAGGAACCTATGCCTAGAGAGGATGAATGACTGGCTTCAGGGCACACAGCACAGTGGCCGAGACGGAATTGGAAACCAGGGCTTCTATTATACAGCCCCACGCGCTGCCTCAAAGCCTGCTTTGGGTGGGATACTCACTCCCCAGACCCTGACATTCAGGAAGCTGTCGGGGTGCCAGAGGACAAAAAAATTTGGCCGTAAGGCTTTGCCCTTAAGAAGGCACATCTCATACTTAGGGAAGCCCGGCACAATATAGCACGACCCCAAATTCCAAGGGTTGAGGGTCAGCTGGGAACTCCCGTGGACACTAGGGGGAAAGGGGCCTTCCCTCCTGCTACAGGTTCAATGTGTCCCCCAAAAGCTCATGAGTTGGAAACTTAATCCCCAATATAACATTGTTGAGAGGTGAGATCTTTAAGAGGTGATTAGGGCCTGAGGGCTCTGCCCTCCTGAATGGATGAATGCCATTACTGGGGGAGTGGGCTCCTCAAAAAAGGGTAAATTCAGCCCCCATTTCCTCCCTGTCTTGCATGCTTGCTTGCCTTCCGCCATGGGATAATGTAGCAAGAAGGCCCTCTTCAGATGTGTCCCCCGCAACTTGGACTTCCTAGCCTCCAGACATGTGAGCCAAATAAATGTCTTTTCTTTATAAATGACCCAGTCTGTGGTAATTCTGCTACAGCAACAGAAAACATATCAAGACACTTCCCCACCCCTAACCTCACCTGTCCTCTTCCTCTCGACCATCCCCTCTTCCTGGGCAGGCGGGCTGGCATCACTGTAGGTGCTGTCTCGAGGCGAGGTCTCCTCTGACTTGCAGTAAATGGGTGACTCGAGCTGGGGAGGCTGTGGCACGTGCTTCTTGCGTTTCTTGGGCAGCTTCTGCTTGGCCATGGCCAGGGAGTAGTACATGCCGAAGTTGTTGACAATGACAGGCACGGGCATGGCAATGGTGAGAACTCCAGCCAGAGCACACAGTGCCCCCACCAGCATGCCTGACCATGTCTTGGGGTACATGTCCCCGTAGCCCAGCGTGGTCATGGTTACCACAGCCCACCAGAAACCGATGGGGATGTTCTTGAAGTCGGTGTGGTCATTGCCTCGCGGGTCGGAGGGCCTGGCGCCAATGCGCTCGGCATAGTAGATCATGGTGGCAAAAATGAGCACGCCCAGGGCCAGGAAGATGATGAGCAGGAGGAACTCGTTGGTGCTGGCACGGAGCGTGTGGCCCAGCACGCGCAGCCCCACAAAGTGGCGCGTGAGCTTGAAGATGCGCAGGATACGCACGAAGCGCACCACACGCAGGAAGCCCAGCACATCCCGGGCTGCCTTGGATGACAGGCCGCTCAGCCCCACCTCCAGGTAGAAGGGCAGGATGGCCACAAAGTCGATGATGTTGAGCAGGTTCTTGACGAAGTCCAGAGTGTCGGGGCAGCACACGATGCGTACCAGGAACTCCAGCGTGAACCACAGCACACACACACCCTCTATGTAGGTCAGAATGGGTTCTGTCTCCACCTCCCTCCGGAAGCGCACGCTGGTGATGTTGCCTACTCGGTGGATCTCTGTCACATTGCGGTCAATGTTAAAAGCCTCATGGGTCTCCAGGCAGAAGGTGGTGATGGAGACTAGGATGAAGAAGAGGGAGGCAAAAGCCACCACCTGGGGGCAAGAAAGGAGAGGAGGGGTAGCTGTCAGGCAGGGATAGAGGGGCCCTGCTGGGGACAGGGACCTCTGCACACCAGGCAGTCTGTTAGATGGTGACAGGTGGGATTAACATACAGTCAGGGGCTGGAGTTCCCACTTCAGAGGGTCTTTATCCATCTGCTTCAGTGCTCTAGGGCAATGCTTTGCAATCTTTGTCCTGGTGCACAGAAGACAGAGGCTGCTCTTGGCTGGAAGCAACTGGTCAGAGAACTACAGCTGCCTGGCCCTGCCTACGCTGCCTCTGCCCAGCAATAACCCACTTGTGCTTTAAGGCTTCTCAAACTGCAATAGGTGTACAAACCATCCAGGAATCTCGTTACAATGCCGTTCTGACCCAGGTGTAGCACAGGCCTAAAATTCCACGTTTCTCACAAGCTCTCAGTTGAGGCTGTTTGTGTACAGACCACAGTTGGAGTAACTAGGCTTTAAGGCAGTGATCCTCAAAGTGGAGTCCCGGACCAGAAACACCAGGCCCCTGGGAACTGGTTAGAAATGCAAACTTCAAACCTCACTGAAACCTACTGAATGAGAAATGCCAGGGGTAGGGCCCGGCAATCTATTTTAACAAACCTTCCAGGTATTTCTTTCTTTTTTTTTTTAAAGATGACCCGTAAGGGGATCTTAACCCTTGACTTGGTGTTGTCAGCACCACGCTCTCCCAAGTGAGCAACCGGCCATCCCTATAGGGATCTGAACCCGTGGCCTTGGTGTTATCAGCACCACACTCTCCCGAGTGAGCCACGGGCTGGCCCTCTTCCATGTAGTTCTGATGCACATTAAAGTTTGAGGTCCACTGCCTTAAGGGATGCCCAGAGGTATGGGGCTGCAAGAAATGACTTTGCTGGCTGAGCTACTAGCCACACTCCAATCATGACCTACCTCCTCAAGCTGCAACTCTCAGCCCCTCTCATGTCTCTCACCTCAGGATGTCCCCGCTGACTGCCTAGACAGTGAGGAAGTCCCTGACAAAAGACTACATGTACCATGGCAGGAGACATGGTGGTTTGCCCAAGTAACCAGTCCCACCCCTCCCCACAAAATGAGGTTTCCCGGGACACTGAGCACCAAAGAAAAGGAACCACATCCATCAGGATCAGAGAGTGGCAGTGGCTGATCCTGACGGCTGCAGGGACCCGGCTAGAATGATGACCGCAGCACTCGGCAGAGGGAGGGCTGGAGTTAAGTGTCCAATCATTATGAATAGAGATGAATGCGTGTGTAATGACAGCAATTACGAGCCTTCATCTCTTATTCATGTTGCCATTCACCACTGTCAGGATGTCGTTGCTGGGGTTTGGTCTCATGCTCCCTGCTGCCGCCTGTCCTGCTTGGTGGGTGGGACCAGGCTTCCTCCCTGAGCAGAAGGTTGAGCCTAAATAGGTGAGTAAATGAGGTCTGTGCCCCCACGACTATTTGGCAACCCCCATGCCCCCCCTGCTCCGATTTCCACTTGACTGTGGCCTTACCCCTGTCCAATGCAGATTCAGACCTGCCTCTCAGAGGGGCTTTCCTCCTCGGGAGTCTGCTCCAGGAGGGGAAGGGCATGCCTTGTTCTGACGGAGGCCAAAACACTGACGGAGAACACTGGGAGATCCGGGAAAAAGAAGCAAGAAGCAGCACCTCCAGCACTTCTGGAGCAGGAGCACATCTGAGGAGGGAACCGTGGGAATGATCTATGCCTGGCACTGTTAGACACTATGTGTCATCACCTTCAATCCTCCCAGTGACCCTGTGAGGCAGGCCTCATCATTTCATTCTACGTAGGAGGAACTGAAGACCAGAGAGGCTATATACTTGCCTAAGGTCACAGCCTGGAAGAAAGGACCAGATTTAACTCAGAACTGTTTAACTATTTCACCCTTAGCAATGTGTACCTTGGGCTTGGGACAGATCCCCCATCACATGCCACAATGTACCTCATTTACACTTGAACTCAGATGGATCAGAAACAACACAGAAGGCTGGGATGGGGGGGCGGGGCAGTGGACCACAGACACACTTTCCCTATTTTACAACTTTGCCTGAAGCTTCTCCTGCTTGCTTCTCCTCCATGAAGGTAAATTTCACGTTCTTTTTCTGGCCTCACTTTTCTTCCCCTGTGAAATGGGCTGCCACGATACAGGCTGATATGGGCATTAGGCAAACGGCTCCAGCCTGTGGGCTCTCCATGGCCATCCAGAGATGAGCTGGTGAAAGTGCCTGCCCATGGCCTTGCTGCTGGGAATCCAGAGTCCTGGCACAACCCCCTCCCCCGGAAAACAGAAGGGGTTGGGGTAAGGTGTGGGGACAGCATATCCCAGTTCTTCCAGGAAGCATGAGGAGCAGGAGCCCTCTCTCTCTGAGGAAAAGTTAGCCAGGAGAGCTGGCCCACCTGGGAGCCCAAGCATGAGGCTGATTAGTGATTTGGAAAAACAAGTTCAGGAAGAGCTGCCAAACTCAGAGGTCAAGCACAGGGAGCAGGGAGGGAAGGACGATAGTGTGGCCTGGCCACTTTCTCACCCGCAGGGCCAAGGAATCTGCCTGTTACCTTCCTCAGCTCCACTGCCACGGGCTCATTCTGCAGCCAGCAAGAGAATCCGTCAGGCCCAGGAGGTACAAACGGCCCTCCTGAGTTAGGGAACAACCCTCTTATTCCTGCTGTGTTCACTCACTTTTTCTTTTCTTTTGCAAAGCAGAACTGTCCCATCTGTTAATGTCTACCCCTCACCTCCACCGTCTCAGAAGATGAGGGCAGGTAAAGGGTGGCCCCATGGGCCCCTTTTTCAGGGGAAACAGAGGCACAGGAGAGAGGGCAGATGACCTACTCAGGATCAAACTGAGGCTAGGCCTCCTGACTTTCAGCTCAGAGCTCTTTCCAATTAGACACTCTGACCCAACAAGTGGGGACAATCCACACCTCCTTTGTTGAAACCTTGCAGACCCCAACCTCCCCTGCAACTTCTCCAGGCTGGGCAGCAGGTGGCAGGCGGGCCCCAGCAAGCCTCACTTCTCGAGGAGACAGAACTGGGGCAGAGCATGGCAGATTCAGGGGCCTGGGCTCTGGCACATTCCCCCAGGCAGGTCCCAAGATTACAGGTTCCCTTTCAGGGCCCAAACTATTCCTTTCTTCCTAAGTTATTCCCCAAACTGAATAATTTCATAACTGGTTGTCCCTGCTTACAAGTGGTGCATTTCACCAGGCCTTCCCCTCTGGGGACAGGGCTACGGCTTTCTTTCTCACAACTCCCTTGATTGGGGGCTTCAATAAAAAAGGACAAAAAAGGGCCTAGGGAGGAAATGTGCAGGTTGCAGCAATACCACCCTGCTTAGAGGTCAAAGTCTCACACTCGCGCCTTCTGTTCAGCCCCTCTGGGCCATCCTGCAGAACAGGCATGGTGCATCTGAGCCTCCCTCCCATAGGCCTGTGCTGCCAGACTGAGGGCAAAGGGGAGCTGCGGAGCCCTGGGCTAGGAGCCTCAGGCCTGGGTTCATCATCCTGGCCCTGCCACTCAGCCTGATAAATGCTGTCCTCTGTACCTGGTTCCTCAATATAACATGGGGACAGTACTAGGACCCACTTGCAATGTTACTGTAGGATTAGATGGGCTTCTACGTGTCAAGTGCCTGGCACCCCGTGAGTACTCAATAAAATGGTAAGAGCCGAGGAGGTGTGGGGGTCCCTAGGCGGACTCCTGCATGCAGCTTCTAAAGGCAAGCTGCATCTGGAGCCAAAATATCACAGGATCCTTGCTTTTTAGAAGTGAAAGAGACTCAGGAGGACATCCAGTTCAACGCCCTTCCTGCTATTTTACAGATGAAGAAACTGAGTCCTGGGGAGAGCGCATTGCCACTGTGCCAGTGGCAGCTCCTCTCCTGCCTGCTGGGAGGATGCAGGAGGCTCTCAGCCTCTGTGTAGGAGGGTCCTTCTCCTGTGAGCTTCCTGCTGTCCTTGGGTCCTTCAGACACATGTTGGCTGGCTGTTCGGGACACACCCATCCCCAAAGGCCTAGGTGTTTCAGCTGCTGGGTCAGCCCTATTACCAGCCTTCTCACCAACCCCACCCTAGGACCGTCCTTGTGGAAATGTGAAGTCACACACTTCTGGGTTCAAGTAGGACTCTGCTACTAACTGCCTGTGAGACCTTGGGCAAGTTTCTTAACTTCTTTGAGCTTTAGGATCTTCATGTATAAAATGGAAAACTGAGCACCTACTATGTGCCAGACACTGTGCAGGGGAACAGAAGGAAAAAAACACACAAATACCCCTGCCCCTTGGACCTTACGTTCTAGTGGAGGGAGACTCAACAAATAAACAAAATATACAGTATATCAGACAGTACTAGCATTATGGAGAAAAAAGAGATAAAAGGTGTGAGGGTCGGGAAGCTATTTCAAATAGAGGTCAGGTAAGGCATCAAGGACAAGGTAACATCTGAACAGACCCGAAGGAGTGAGGGAGTGAGTCATATGAAGATCCAGAGTTCCAGACGCAGCAGGACAAGCAGTGCAAAGGCCCTGAGGCTACCATATGCTTGGTGTGTTTGAGGGAAAGAAAGTAGTACCCACCTTACAAGGTTGTTTTGAGGATTAAAAGCAAAGATACTTATAAAACTCAGCACAGAGCATAGAGTGTCTCAGGAATCTGGCAGAGGCTGGGCTTAGGGGAGAGGTGACAGACACCAATCACTGGGAACTGAATATAATCAGCAGGGGCAGGGGAGGGGAGCCCAAGCAAGAAGGGCCAGGAAGACAGATGGACAGATAAACACAAGAAGACTCATGCCCAAAAACCTATATTAAGGATGGAGTGTAGGAGAGGGGAGAATTGAGAACACAGCCAGACACTTGCAGAGGAAGATCTGTGGGGATGGGGTAAGGGGCTGAGTCTTCTTGAGAAGCAAGATCCTAGTGCCCAGGCAGTGCTGGAGAGATACCAGGCAGCCCTGGGGTTAAGAGGTAGGAAAGGAGAAGGTCTGCCCAGGTAGGCATCTCTGAGCTGTCTCTGGGCTCCCGGATGAAGGACTGCACTAATGCCCAGATCCCAGCAGAGGGAACCTGGCCCTGGTCCCTCCCATGCTGAGCCAGGTCCTTCTTGTTCCAGTGTCCACAGCCAGTCTCTACCTGTGCTCGCCCTCTGCTGAGCCAGTACTCAGGGCTTCTCAGAGCCAGTGAGTCCCAGCCCCGGAAAGGATCTGGTCCAGCCCAGATCACTGTCCAAGAACCTACTATCTAGTCACATGAAATTCCTGGTTAGTGCCCATCCATGTCCCAGGTTGCCCTATCTCTACTTGGGCTGGTCTCCTGGCCAGGAAATTCCCCCTTTCCCTAACTCTGCTTGGTTCAGCACTACCCATTTTGAAAATTTATTTATTTATAACCTGCCTCCTTCTAAAAATTATTTAAGGGAGCAAAATCATTATCCTAACAAGGCCCACCCAGCTCAGCTTTTGGTTCCTTGCTGAAGTTTCCCTGCACGCCCCTGCCCCCACCAAATCCCATCCCATGTAGAGGTGAGATTTCTTGCTTCCTCCTCTCACCTCCTATTGAACTTTCTTTTTATGACTACCGTGGCACCTCTCATGACACATCTTGTATTATTGTCGTAATTCCCCTCGACCGCCACCTACCCCACCTGACCTGGCTCTCTTCAGGAGCAGGAACCACCTCAGATTCATCTTTCTATTTCTAGAACCAGCATGGTGTTTGGCTTGTAGTAAGTGCTCAGTAAATATTCTTCTGAATGGCTGGAGCCAAGGTGACTGTCTGCTCCCTCTCCTGTCCTAGGGAGCCTGGGATCAGCATCCTACTGACTGGGGCTAGAGGTGACAAAGGTGTGCCCAGGAATACCTACCAGCACTAGGGCTCTAGGACCTCTGCTGCTCTCCAGGATGGGCCAAGCCAACTTCCCAATCAGGGACCCTGCCAGGGGTCGGGTTCCCTGGCAGGCTGGTGTGCCCAGGGAACAAGGACAGCACAGGTGCTCTAGTGCCGGCACCCCAGGCTGACACTGGCAGAGGTGAAAGGCCCACAGGGCACCCCGCTCCCAATACCCAGCTGCCAGACTTTGCTCCCGCCTGCTCCTCCCCACTCTCCAAAACAGACCATTTATTTTATCCCCTCCTCCACTCCCCACCCCACCCCAAACAGCAACAAACAGAAACACCTCGCCATCCAGAGACAAGATGCTCAGAGGCAAACGTTGTTCTGTTCAGAACAGAAAAGAAGACACAGAACAAATCCAGGAAGAAACAGGGAGGTTGCCCGAGGGCAGGGTCTGCAGGGAGGCTGTGGCCTCTGGCCTGGCCCTCCTCCTGCTTCTCAGGAAGGAGGCGGAGGGTTACCCTGGGGAAGGCTGGTACTGCCCTCCTGGGGGCTGGGAGGCCAGGGCATGGCCATCCTGGGGCCAGGTTCCCGGTTCATCCTAGCTCCGAGGGCACATGATCAGCAAGTCCTGGCCCTCGCTCCAAAGCCTTTCGTGACCACCAACTGGCTGGGCCCCAGACAAAGTCTGAACCAGAGAAGCCAAGGAACCTTCAGAAGGGGGCGGGTAGGAGCGGAGGTCTGCATTTCTTTCCTAGAAGGCCTTGGCTTCATTCCTCTGCCTTGGGGTGGGGGTGGGGCAAGAAAACCTAGTCTCCTCTCCTAATGTTATTCCTATGGGGGGAGGGAGAAAGAAAGGGGGGGGAGAGAGAGAGAGAGAGAGAGAGAGAGAGAGAGAGAGAGAGAGAGAGAGAGAGAGAGAGAGAGATCAGATTACAACAACAATTCTAGGGAGTGAAGCAAAGGAAGGGCTGAAAGGAGAGCGGAAGAGGAAGCTCTCTAGTGAGCAGCTATCCTTTGAGCCCTACAGAAGCCAAAGGCCATCTCGGAGCCAGTTCTACCATCAGCTGTGCATCCTTGAGCAAGCCCCTCTGGGCCTCAGTTTCCTTATCTGTAAATCAAGGTTAATAATCCCTGCTTCAGCTGGGCAAGATGAGCTAGTAAAAGAAAGCACAGGTTGAGCACCTGAGACACAGTGGATGCTTAATAAAGATGAAAACCCAGCTCTAGCTGCCTTCCTGGAGCAGTGGGGATCCTGTGGTCACCTCTACTCATGAGAAAAAGGTGGGAAAAATCAATCCAGGAACTGATTTAGCCAAAGAAGGACTATAATCCTTAATAGGGCTGATAACTGAGTTATAGTCAGCCCAGCCTCTGAGACCTCTGGAGACTGTGGTGGGGGAGGGAAGTGTCCCAGGGTCCCACTCATCAGGCCTCCTGTCTGCTCTCAGAAAAATAGGAAGCTATGATCCTATGGTTCTGGGTGCTGCCAACACCCATTGGTTCCCCTCATTGTGTGAAGCCACCCTGGTGAACCCTCACTCCGTTCCGGGTCATGGACAGGTGAGGAGAGCACCAGCCTGCCCCTTGTGCCTGCCCCCAGCTCAGGCCACAGAAACAGAACCACAGCTGCAGCCACCCATGGGCCTGGCCACAGTGAAGGGAGCTGGGATGAGCATCCCTGGGCTGGAGTCTGCAGGAACGGGAACCGCTCTGGGCCAGGCCTGTAGCTAGGCAACAGGCTCTCATAATCAGCTCAGTTCACTTTCTGTTGGTATTTGGTTTGCTCCTGTCATAACGCACTACTCAAATGACCAGGTTGCTGTGTGTGAAGAGACACCTCGGGGCACAGTGCTGCTCCTTGCCCTCATCTGCCCTCGCTGGGGACATCCCAAGCCCACCACCTTGCAGGAATGCAGGCCCCTGCCAGGGAGGCAGCAGCTGTGAGAGAAGATACATACACAAACCCAGGGGAACAGGGCTGGGGAAAGACAGTGTTACTGGCTTGGAGCAAATGGAAGGGGGAGAGCACAGAACCCCCAGCAGGGCACTGTGCCCTCAGGCCTGGAGCAGTGATAGTGTAAGTGTCCCTTCTGCTGTCCCCATCTGCCCCTGGGTTTTCTGGTGTCATCTACAGGAGGTACAGAATCTCAGAATACCTCCCATGCCAGAGTAAGAAATGAGCCCCTCTCCAGAAAACAGCCTAGTTCAGTGGGGTAGTCCAGGCATGAGAACCAGGTAGTCAGGGAGCTCTGGCTTTGATTCAAAGGCCACCATCTAGCTGTGTGATCTCAGGCAAGTTGTTTATCTTCTCACAGTCTCAATCTGTTAAATGGGGGTAATAGCCCTGGATTAGAGATTAATGTAAAGTATATATAGAAAGTACCTGCACGGGGTGCTCAATAAATAGTAGTTGTTAATTTTCTTTATCTATATATTCCTGAGCAGGAGGCAAGTCCTCTTTTGGCACATGTGCCAGCCAGAGCTCCATACAGCTATTCACATCAGTATTAATAACCAGGAGACTGGAAACTAGGGGTGGTTTGCTGGCTCTATTGGTTGTGTTTGACAAGACACTTAACATACCTGAATCCTGGTTTCTTTGTTGCTTAAATGGAAGAATTAATCCCACCCTGCCCCAAACTTCAGACTTCAACTGGAGTGCCCAGGCTGATACGATATAATGCCACATCAAAAGGGCAAAACCTGCAGCCAGCCTGTCCCCTCCCTGCAGCCCCACTCCCCAATCCTCTGCCCTCCCCTGGGTAGGGAAGTGAAACTTTTTCTTCCATTACTAGGATGAGGCCCAGCACAGGGTGTATTGGGGCAGGGGGGAGAGGCAGGGCTCCGAGACTCATTAGCATGATAACTTGGGATGCCAGAGGTACTGACCAGTTTCCACAGTCCCCAGACCCAACAAATGTCATTGCTCTTTCCCGTCTCCCAGACAGACCCCAGGTAGGCTTTAGGCTGCTAGCCATGAGATCAGACACCAGTTCCCAGGGGTTTTTTTAAAGACTCTAAAACCATCCCCCAGGATTTTTTCTTATTTAGTTGCCCAAGCATAATGGGGTGAATGAGTGTCTCCCCCCAACCCCTTTCACCTAAAGGGGTTAAGGGAAACTAGATTAACTTGGGGAGGGGGTGGTGTGAAAGGACTAGATCTTGCCTAAATCAGCCTATGCTCCTCCCTCCCCCACCATACACCCATCTCAAACAGTAACTTGAACCAGGGCTTTTTGGAAGGCCAATTAGTACTGCAGCAGGGAGAAAAGAAGCGGCAAGAAATCTGGTATCATCACCAGGAAGCCTGTGGCTGGCCACTGGCTGTGGGAGCCTGAAGGGCCTAGAACATTAGGCCCTTCCTGTCTAACTCTCCCCTCACCCCAGCTGAGGCCAGGACATCCCAGGTGTGCAGGGAGCCTTGGGGCATGGCATGCTCCCTGGAAGAAAAAAGGCCTCTTCCAAACCTGCACTGAAGCCTGGGTTCTGGTCTCAGCTCTGCCTCTTATGAGCTGAAGATGCTGAAGCCTCTGTCCCTTTTCTAAAACGCATTGTTGCTAGCACACTGTGCTGCTGGGAGGATTTAAATGAGGTGGCACAACATGGAACCATCTAACACAAGGCGCCCTAGTTTCCTTCCTCTCAACCCTGTCTGACCCCAGCAGAAGGCCAAGTTCCAGCTCCCCGGGACTGTGGCTCTGAGGGACTAGGAGCAGAGGGCAGCTGAAGATAGGGTGGCGTGTGCAAACCAAAGGGGGTGGAAGAACTGAGCTAAGGGCACCCCACTCACTGCGAGGGGATGCGGCAAAGCAAGCAGCTGGGATTGGGTCCAAATAGTAAGTCAAGTGTGTGCAATCTCCTGATGGAGCGTGCAGGCGAGAGGGAGGGAGTGTAATTCCCCTGAGCGCCATGGAAGGGAATTGGGAAGGAGGCGGGAAGAGCCTGCAGTGGTAAGTCAGTGTCGGTTCCAGCTCCTCCCTGCCCCTCCCCACCACCGCCATGGGCCCCTTGCAGACCCGAGAAGGGGAGACCCGGGCTCCTGTCACTCACCCTGGCAGCCCGCGAGGAGTAGGGATCCTCGAAAAGTGCCCACATGCGGGGTTGCCAGCCGCGGCAGCCCCCGGACCCGGCGCCGGGGCCCGCCCCTCCCTCGTGGGGGCCCAAGCGCTGCAGGGCCAGCTCCCGCTCATCGTCGCCGGCCTCGTCGCTGGGCCCCGCGCCGCC